AAATTTATTGCACAACACACGCATGTCACACAATTGTATAAAATTATTCAACCTAGTCTCCGGACTAGGTTATATTGCTCAACACAGCCAGTTCACAACAATGGCATATCCACCAGCACTCACCAATTATTAACATCTTCATATAATCACATTCACGTGGAAATTAGTCAGTGGAGTCCACCGAACCCCCTGATGAGCCGTCCTCCCACATGGGTCATCCTCTCATCATGTGGCCCACCAGGGAGCCCGATCCCCATACTGGCGACCGGTCCTAATCCTCACTGACCAGCCCCTCTCATTATTTTCCATTCTCTCTTTTTTCGTTTTCCATACCAACAGGAGGCACCCGGTCGTCTCCATCAATCTAGATCAATCAGGCGCTCACAACAGGAGGGCCACCCTGCGGGCTGCGATCAAATCTAGATTAATTCCGGTGCGCCAATAAAGAAGCCAGCCTGTGGTTAAAACAATAATGGTAACGGTAGGTGCACACGGGGGGCCGCCGATCTCCCATTTACCCGGCTACAGAAAACAGAAATCAGGATCCATATAACAGAATCAGGATCGGCGTAGCCGAGGGATAACAGGAATCAAAATCAGGATCCGTATAACAGAAACAGTCTCACAAACCCATGGTGACCCCACTTCATCCCAATTCCACACACAAACAAAGCAAGGCATTGTCACATCACAACTAATCAAGCATTGCCAATTAATTGCAGAAATATTGCAAAGTTAAACATCGGAATGGCAATACACAATTAGACATTCATACTCAAATGCAAATAAATAAATAATAATTAACAATAAACACAATTGATAGAATAAATAATAATAATGAAAAATAACAATAACAATGATAAATAAATAGTAAATTGAATTAATTTAAAGTAAATAGATGATAGTAAAATAATTAGAATACTTATTTACTATGTATTAAGTTATAGAATTATTCTAAATGTTATAGAATTATTCTAAATAAACTTATTACTTTATATTGTTAACTAAAACTAGTCTAAGTTCTATCGAAATTTCGGCAACACCTCCCCTAAAAATTGGGCTATTTACCTACTCAAATATCACAATAATATATATATTAATCATTCAATGCATACAGCCCATCCGTCGGGCGATCAAACAGTTAAATTTTCCTTCCTCCATCCAAATAATAATGTCAACATTCAACTATTAATTCACAACGTATAATAACCTTCAAACGTGTTCCAATAATATTACTGAACATTCTTTGCTTCACATAAATATAATCAGCTTCTTTAGCTAATTGACAAATAAATGAATGTTCAAGAATAAGGCTCAGTATGCACTTAATGTATTGTGATCATCCATTACACCAAGGCCAATTTAAAAAAAAAAGTTCTAAAATGCTGTAATATTGTTTTTATCGTTTTCTATCGCCTTTCATTTTGTGCAAAAAAAAATTGTTTTGATGGATGTGTAAATGAGACTCCTGCACCTGAGTCCCATATCATGTAATGTTGGAGAAGCTTTTGTTCAGGAAAAACGGCAACGCGCCAATACAATGCACAATGAAATTTACACCACAAAATTTAGCTGATGATAATAACAACATAAAAGGAACCACATTTTTTTTTTTTTTTTAACTTACCAAGGTATAAGGAACCACATTTTCTGAAATGTGCAAAAACAACGGTTTTTTTATTAATGTTTAACTCCACATTAGAGCCTATAAAGCTGAGCAAAGGCACCTCTCCCTGCTCACCCAGTGTCACACTTGCCACAAATAATCAACCATACCCAGAAGCTTAGCAGGTTTAAGAAATATTAAAAGTGGAAAGTTTCAGCTTAGTTCCTGCTCTATTCATTCTGTTCAAAACTGATTGATTGATCGATCGCTCTGGCCAAATTTTCACCTAGCATTTTAGGGTGCCTATTTTCTCTCATACCACTCTATCTGTTTATGGTAATTATATAAAAGAACTATGCTTGCTTGTTCAATTTAAATTGTATCCATTTTTTTCTGTATTTATTTTTATAGTTTTCATAAAATTTCTTAAGAAAAACATTTAGCGTTCAGAATTTTTTTTTTTTTTTTTTTTTTTGTTATCTTCATAAAGTTAGCTAAGAATTTTCCATTTCTATATCAAACTTCCCTATTTCAAGATCAAAATTCATTGAAATGTATTGAAAGGGTTGAAAATAATTTACCCGACTCGCCGAAAATTCAGAAAAGGAAGCAGCGCGACTGCACCTATTGCGAAGCAGCTCCTGGGTTTGCTGTGCCAACCCGGAACAGGAAGGGGGAGAGTGAAGAAGAGCCGAAGCTTCTTCAATCGACGAACAGGGAATCGCGACGCCGCCGAAATAATCAGGCGGAGGATGTCTCGACGCCGATCTTTCCGATCGAAGGGTGTCGCGGCACTCCTGCACCTTCTGCGTACGCCAGAGACGAAAGAGAGAGGAGAAGGGAAGGCCGGGATCCCGCTTGCGACGTGGACGCCGATTGGCGAGGAGGCAAGCGCCTGGTCTTCGGTTGTCGGGAAAAAGAAGAGGAGGAGGAGGAGGAGGTCGCGCGCTGGGCAACAAGGGCTGGCGCACAGGAAGGAGAAGGGGAAAAGAAGAAAGAAAAAAAAAGAAAAAGAAAAAAGGAAAAGAAAGAAAAATCTTGGGCTTCTTAGACCATTCCGGTTCGATTCGAACCGGTTTGGGAGTCTAATTCTTATGGATTTGGCTCAATTAGCTTGGTTTTCGAAAAAAAATCGAATTGGTTTACGGCGGTCTAGCTTTAGCAATAATAAATACTAGCTGGTGAATCTTAATTGGTGAAATAAAAATTTTATTTTTTAAATGAAAAATACTAGCTGGTGTAATCTTATTGGTTGAAATAAAAATTTTATTTTTTTAAATGAAAATTCTACGAAATTAAATTTTCGGGTCGTTTCAATAGTACAAATAGAATCTATTTAGACTTAATTTAATTTGGGCTTTAGTTTAGGACTTTAAATTCAATTTAGTTTTTTTAAACTCAATTTAGTTTTACTTTAGTTTATTCTATTTTTAATATATTATACAAAAATTATAATCATTAAAAAAAATTTTTGAAAGGATCCTCTTCCTCCTTTTTCCTTTATGATTTTAATAAATTTGAATGGAAAAAAATTAAAATTAATTTATAAATTACAAACAAATTAATGCACGATTTTTTTTTTTTAATGAAAAGTGTTAGAAGTATAAATGGAAAATGGAAAAAAAAAATTTCAAGCAAGTAATTTATTAGCTGTGTAATCAATATATCTTTTCATTTTGCAAGATGGATATTAAAAATAAGATATAAAGAATATATATACAGACATATTTAGAAATTGGATACTTTACCCACTGGAGTAGGGTGGACAATATTTGAAAAAAATAAAAAATCATATGGCATATTCCATTTAATTTTATTCGATTTAGAATTTATTTTATTTTAGTCTATAATAGAAAATAATTTTTTTTTACTCAACTTCTAGAATTCTAAATTAAGTTGTAGGACTGATTTTTTTTTTTTTAAGAAAAAAATTAAGTTTATTGATAACTAAACTGATCAATGTGCAACATAAAACTAACATCCTCCCGTTTCAATTTATTTATTGCAGTTTTCATTAAACAATCTCTCTTTGATGGAAAATAATTTTAGATATGATAAAGATGAATAACTTACCAAGACTATCAAAATATATCTTTAGTTGTAACGAGGGTATTTTAGATCAGTTGTTAATAAAAAAAGAAAAAAAAACACTTTACTTTTTTTATTGATAATAGAAAAAAAAAATTGGTTAATTAGCTTAGTATATAGAGTAGTTTCATATGTCGGAGCTAGGTTGCACGAATACAGGACACGAGATACGGAAAGGTACGGGATATGATAATTCTTAAAAAAAGTAGGACTTCCATACGCTTAAGACACACTACAATAAATAAGTATAATACATTAATTTTCAAATAAATAAACAATCATTTATAATAAATCATAAACGTAAAATAAAAAAATATTTAATTTCTTATTTAAATATAATTAGTTAAATTCTCAAAATTATTATCGTTGTTGAAAAATACATTAATAATGTGTACATTTTTTATGCAGGTTGTACCATACATAACTTTTGCTATTGCATACCTTGATAAAAAGCTTCGCAGAATACTTAAGAAGACACATTTTAGCATTAGAACTTTTCAGCATATCTCAATGAAATACGATTTTATAATACATTTTACGATCATTTTAATATACAATTTTATTATTTTTGAATAATATTATAAAAGATTATTGCATCGCGCGGGTTCTAACGCTTGGATAATAAAAATTTTAAAATTATGATAAAATAAAAAATAAATTAAGAGTTTCTTTAAAATAATTTTTTTAAAACTTCAAACCGAAATTGCCAATTTTAAACCAAAACCGTGAATTTCAATATACAAAAATGAAGATCTAGAACTAACTATAAATATATCATCTAGATTACAATTTGGAATCAAGAACCATTAACCATGATTTTATGTTAATTTTGACCTGTTCAGTTTCAATGCACTCCTACTTTTAATTGTTAAATTTGTCCCTGAATTATACCTAAACTGATTATGAAATCCTAACTTATAAATTCTACCAATATTTTGGTCTCTATTTTAAATGGAAGAACCAAAGTGTTGATAAAATCATAAATTAAAAACCTCATTTTTAGTTTTTAAAAATAGAAGTGCTTATGTAATTTGACAATAATTTAGGAACCAATTTATTTCATTTCCAATTTAAAAAGAAAAGAGGGACATTTCAAGAGTTGTTTGTCGAATCAATTCGGTGCCTCGTAGCATCGTTGTACACTGCAACATATATATATTAGCCATAAGGATACTTTTAGAGCTTATTAATGCCAATTCTCTCAAGGTTAAAGGCAATATAAACAAGCATTGGTGCTAGAGTAAATTAGTGATTTGGCTAGCATCCAAATACCAGTGAGTTTGAAAATTTCCAATATATCAAAAAATAAAACCAAAGCGACAACAAATTAACAGCAAGAATACTATAATGTTATTTTAAAAAAAATAAAATTCATGTCTGAATTGTCAAAGCGTGTAAATATGAGATAAAATCTCAAGCTGCTAAATTAGTTCAAGGGTAAAAAGGTAAACTAGTCCTATATAGGAATTAGCTACACTCTATGCCTACATATCCATGTGTATAGACTACAACAATTTCTAGCAGCCTGGAATGGAAAATTTTGTTGCACCACATTATTACTCAATGGGAACAGCATTCATTCCACGAGGCCTTCAACCAATTTTTTCTGATATTAATAACTTTCTATATTTTCATGGAGATAAAATCAAGGCTTCAAAACATCACACAGGAAATGAATCCTAATGATCAGCAAACTGACCTCCTTTCCTGCCATGAATCCTACTAGTTTGTTTTTTCTCTAATTGCAGCCCAGAAGTGTCCGCATCGTGTCGAGTCACGATTCTGAGAGGATGGGCTTCTGTGTTGAAAACCCACTCGTCTAATGGGATGACTGAAGGCGGTGAGAAAAGAAGATAGAGATACTTAAGTGTCTCTGCAAGGAAAAAGCTTTGCATCATATTGTCTTTGACACCTGTAGTCACCTGAGAGTAACATCATTGAGAAGTTGATTAGCACAATCCACCTTCAACAGTTATCAAACTAGTTTCTTCTCATGACCACAGAGATAAGTCAGATTCATTTAGAATAAAGCAAAAAAAAAAAAAAAAATGCTGATACTTGCAATTAATATGTTCTGAGCCACTCAAGTATTTGGATTCGTCATTCAAAACCTGCAAAATAAATGAAAGGGAAAAGAAGAATAGTGTGCTTATTCCCATTACCAAATTGTACCTCAAGGCTTTCCCGCTTTTTATGGAGAGGAGGATAGGTAGGTAGATAAGAAATTGAGAGCTCAGGTTATGGTAAACATAATGGGCATGGCATGATGATAAAATTTTGGGCTCAACTGCCACAATTATATTAGACTTTGAGAACCAAAATTGAACGATCGAGTTTAAACGGAAAAAAAAAGAAAGACAAATTTGCTACTTTGTGGAACTAAGGATGAAGACGAGACGCCATTAACAGAGTTGATGTGTCAACAGGAAGATAAAAGAGACCTTAAAGAAAGAGAACAAACATAATCAGAGGAATTTGGGAATAGTTGAACTTGGCAGCCTCTTTTAAATAGTTCACTAAAATCTGCAAAATTCTTCTTATTTCTTCGTCATTTTCAGTATAAAGTTTTCAATACATTCCTTGCTCACTCTCAATCTGCAAGTTTCTCTTTTGTCTCCAGCATCGCTGGTAACAGCTATTTATACTTGTACAGATGCTTGCTTCAATCTCTAAGCAATAACCTACTTCCTCTAAAACTTACCTCATACTTGTTTACTTAAAGCTGATTAAATCTATCCCATAAATACTGTCCTAACTTCCTGCTTGGGAAATCTAAGCCACATATTTAAACACTCCTAGGTACATCTTCTAAAAGATAAAAATTATAAAAAGTAAATCAAAAACAGAGCATTTCTAATGTGATAGCAAGTCACAGATTTCATTATCATTACCTCTGTGTCTCTACCATCCTTTACAACTTCAACTCTTACAGATTGCTACTGATAGTTCAACCACACTAGAAATTAAATCATAGTTTTGACATGTCCTCACATCATCAAAACTTCTTACATTACAAACAAGCCTCCAACTGTCATATTACTTTTTCCAACAACTTCTGAAATTAGGAAATATAATCTCCTGATTTATACATATTAATCCAATCTGTATTTCAGCACGAATGCCGAAAAAAAAAAGTTCTAGTACAATAAAATCTGCATATGCACAACAGCAATATTTGTAGGTTCCCCATGAAAATACTTATGCAACTATAAATCATTTGTTATGGTCATTACATTCAAATTGAAAATATTTTTCCAACGGCAATAGTAGCATTCCTTGAACTCCATCTTTCATTTGATGAAATTTTCTAAACTAAAATATTCGATGTAAATTTTCTCTAGGCATGTCCTCAACTAATTCTTAATAAAACTTATCAAATTTATTTCTCAAATTTAAATACTGACTCAGTTATGACCTATAGTCAGATGCGATGAATGTAACTGTTGACAATCTCATTTGGTTTTATTCCTACTGTTCCTTCTTAATGGTTAGCACTTAGCATCTAAAGAGTAGCAGAGGATTATCTAAATTATAAATTATGGTCCTACCTTTTCTTTAATTAGTATATTTTGTAATTTTGGTATTGGATGTCTGTTATCTACTGCTCATTGCACTTATATATATACTAATTCAACCAAATCTCTCTCAGCATGAGACAAGTGGGCTAGTGGCCCCACTGTGACTCAAATCTCTCTCAGCATGAGACAAGTGGGCTAGTGCCCCCACTGTGACTCAAATGCAGTGTGTTTCAAACTACGGTATTTTTGCTAACATGCGTGTATGTACTCTCTCAGCATGAGACAAGTGGGCTAGTGCCCCCACTGTGACTCAAATGCAGTGTGTTTCAAACTACGGTATTTTTGCTAACATGCGTGTATGTATTAATTCAAGTTCTGCAAGTTTTTACTATATTAATGTATGATTTGAAAGTTTAGGTCCAAAATTGCAAGTTATATGATTTTTAGGGAGCTGATGTTTCCCTGCTATTGATGTTAAACCTTTCATCATATGTTGGAACAATAAATTTTTTTGTGCTTAATGCAGGGTAAAACATTTCAAGATGTGTCCTTTGGGTACCATACTTTCGGTTATTGTTGTGAATAAAAAATTTTATAAATTTACTTTTTCAGTACTTGTCCATTCCCCTTCACTAAAATTCTTAGTTTATTTGAGATGTTAGATTAACTTGAACTTCTACTCTTTCTTTAAAAAGTCGATTATTTGGCAACAATGATTAAAAAGAATAACAAAACAAGAAGCAAGCAAAATATAAAGCCAATAGTTATGGGAAGAAGAATATCTCTCATGTAAACCTTATCTCATCGTACACAAATGTAACCAGACAATTAATGTGGTTCAGAGGATTAAGAAAGTGCTTACATCCTTCAGTCCAACGTATCCAGCCTCAACACGTGAGTTCTTTTCAAATGCTTGGAATATATTCCAACCCCACTCCTGATATGTCTTATTGCCAGTGAAACGCCACAGATAGAAGAGTGATTCAATTGTTTCTGGTCTCAATATGTTCCATGATGTACCCACAGTCATGTCCTGAAAACATAATGTGCAAAATGCAATCAGTACATTCATCAATGACAGAAGCATGTCACAATATGGAACACAAAGTATCCACCCACACAAACTCACGTAAAAACAAGACAAAGTGAAGACCATAAAAAGTAAAGTTCCCAACAAACCAAAGTATAAACTCTGATTTTCTTTTTCAAATACTTGCAATCCTCTCCATCTAAATATTCCACACAACAGCAAAATGCAAAACAATCCTCTCAAATTGAAATACCCACATCTATTTAGGCTTCAAACTGGAAATTTTAGTTGACTGACCAAATTGTACAAACTTAGGGTTTGTCACTGCAGTAAAAAAATTGGAAAAATTCACATACTACAAGCATAATTTATCAGGCAAGGTGCCTTAAGCAAGTTATTCATTTTCCTTGCATTTATATTGTTTTTCACTTTTCCATTTTAATCTCCTCCACTTCTTTCTCTATTCGTTTCAGACAATCTCTTTTTCTCACAATTTTGTCCTCACATTTTCTTCCTTATTTCATTTTCAATTTTTTTTTTTTTCATCTTTCTTTATCTAAAAACATATAGTTTTCTTGTTCATTATTTAATTATTCAGTAACTTAGCTAGAGCTCTTATTAGTTATTTATCACATCTTTCCTACATATTGCTTCCTTTGGTTCTACGTTTTCTTCTCTCTTAAGCCTCTAAAAGGCACATAGAATAAGCAAAGTTGGGCCATCTTGTAATTAACAGTCAAGAACTACCTGTTTGGAAATAAAATTACCTAGAGATCCCGATCATATAAATCCTATCATATTCGTGTTTTGTGAAAAAATTACAAATTCGGTAGACAGACGAGAATAGCACTTAATTTGAGGTGATAAAAATGCAAAAAGTCCTCATCATGTTAGGGAAGTGATGGAGCAATAAATGGAAAATGAAAAGCAAGATGAGGTGAATCACCACAAATTGCTTGATTTTGATAATATTATTCAAGTTGAAGGCAATCTTGAGCAGGTATTAACAGGTTGATGCACTATGGCTAAAAACTCTATTGCCATGCCCCTCGAGTGAAGTTTCTAGTATGCTTTATATTGTATTAAATTTCAAGTAAGACATTTGAAATTAAAAAGAAAAACCAACTCATGCTTCTAATCATAGACCCCCCAAAACAAGAAATTTAGAGTTGGCGATGGGGTTGCAAGATATCCCTTTAGTTCCCCGTAGTTTCATCACTGGATGAAAGTAATAAATGGTTGAGTGATAAAGTAAGTACAATAGATCAGGATGCTAAGGAAATGTCACTCGTTAGTAGTGGTGGTGACAATAGCTTGAAACAAAGAGGTGGAAAAAGCAACTAGCATTGGAGAAACAAGTAGAAATAGGCGAAACCAAGCCAAACCAATCAAGTTAATCAAGTCAGATGCTTGTTCAAACTTTTCAATTTAACAATCACAATATGTAAATCTTGAGGTTCATTTGGTTGAAACAGGTATAAGAAATTGAGATTATCACTCTAGTAGTGAAGATGAAGGTGTTGAGAATTGGAGTGGGACTTCTGATGAAGACTTTAGAATATTGCAGAGTATTCATCTTATTATGGTTTTTTGAGGTGGTCCTTAAGATTGTTATCTTATGCACATAAAGTTGTCTTTTGCATCTTTTTTTGGAACAAAGGAAATAGAAATGTAAAAGTTCATTTATAAACTAATTCCAAATAGAATACATTTACAAATAAATTCTCATCTTTTGCATGAAATAACATAAACTATGAAATTCAACAGACTCTCCTATTGACGCAAATCAAAGACTACAAGCAAGAGCGGCTTAGGTAGATATCAAATATTAGTTGGAAGATTGATCCACCTCTCACACACTAGCCAGGTATAGCATATATTGTTAATCTAGTAAGTTGATCTTATGCATGGTCCCTGGGAATCTCACTTAGAAGTTGTCTTCCGTATCTTGTGGTACTTGAAAGCTGCACCTAAAAAAAGGCTTATTTTCTCAAAACATGGTCATCAACAAATTAAAGGTTTCGTGGATATAGATCGGGCTGAATCACTTGATGATGGGAGGACAAAATTAGGACATTGCACTTTTGTTGGAAGGAAACCTCATTCCATGGAGAAGTAAGAAACAGAATGTGGTGGCAAGATCAATTGCAGAAGTAGAATCCAAAGCTATGGCACAAGGCATTTGTGAACTACTATGGTTGCAAACTGATGAAAGATTTAAAATTGTTAGATTCATATGATTTATCCCTATTCTGTAATAACAATTCTGCAATCAAATAGTCCACAATCCAGCTTAGCATGATCGGACTAAACATATAGAAATTGACCTACACTTTATAAAGGAGGAAATAATGAGTAACTCCTTAAGTGTTTCACATGCAACTCCAAGAGAGTAGCTAACTGATGTATTTACTAAGGGATTACGCACAGATCTTTTCATAGTCTTGTTTACAAGTTAGGATGTCTAATATCCATGGACCAACTTGAGGGGGAGCGTTGAATCCCTGTAATTATTGAGAATCCTTGATTCTTAGGGATTATTTCCTACTTTGCATAGTTGTATAGCTGAATATTTAGGACTAATTATTATATATAAATGGTGCTATTGTATACCCGTATATACATAAGAAATACAGAATTTTCCCTCTCAAATATGTGTTTCATCAACTAACCTCGCCAGAGTGGAAAAAATAATTCTCTCCAGCCAATTTAGTTGGTGTTGATTGGTAGAAATTGTAGCAAGTCCAAGCAAGCTGCACAAAGGGGGAAAAAAGGAAAATCAAACCCACATAGTAAGAAACATAGGAACATGCCAAAATAATTAGTTGCAGCATATCCAAGTCAATGTCGTCAAGGGAAAAGAAAAAAAGAAAGAAGTGAAATTAAATTTCCCATCATTTCAGATGTCTCATTAGAAGCAAAGGGTATTAGACTTATCTGTTCCATTAAACCTTAGATATAGTTCTATTTGTTGGAATATTAAGGATACAATAAGCAATTAAAGTTTCATTAATATAGTTCTATTTAGTTCTATTTGTTGGAATATTAAGGATACACTAAGCAATTAAAGTTTCATTAAACTTCTCATTTCTTTCCATTTCCTCCCAGAATGGAAGGCAACAAAAAGTTGCTATAAAGGCATACTAGAAGTGTAACTTCCTTCTTTTCACTTCCCTTCCCTTCCCCACATGTTTTAGCAGCCAAACAACAAAAGGAAATAAAATTTATCTTCAATTCCCTCCCTTGCCCTCAAACTATTATATTTAGAACTTAAACTTACGGTTAAAAATTTGATATTCCATAGAATAGTGATTCAACAAAGAATTAGATGATATATTGCCAAGATCAAACATGACTCATGGTCAAAAAGAATTAGATGAAATATCGCCAAGATCAAACATGACTCATAGATTTCAAACCTCAGATGAAAACAAATCACTACTGAACATAACAAATATCGTTTTAATAATTAGCAACATAGCAATGGTCATTCTAACACTCAGCTTTAAAAACAATAAGAATACCTCCTTTGCAAGCGAAAGAAATTTCTCGGAGTCAGCAGGCCCATAACCAGAAGATCCTAAAGCTAGCATTCCTGGAGCAAAGCATGCTAATTCATCCATCTGCACAAATAAAAAAAGAAACAAGCATCGAGAACATTAAACATTATGCTTTTCCTTGACAAGCACAAGGAAATTAGGAAAAAAAAAAAAATTAGGTTAAAGTCCATCTAATAGGATTCCATTTAGAGTAAACAAAATTAGAAGTGTAGAATTAATTTATCAACAATTCTCATGTTTGAAATGATATACTCAAAATTTGGAATTTAATTGAATTACGTACTTTTATGTTTGGAACCAAGCTAGAATTTAATTCTTTTTGTCATTATTCCCTAAAATAGCCTTCATGTAGCAATCTTGTTAGAAAAGATAACACAACTAAAAGAACCCATTCGTTACAAAGTAGTAATTAAACTAGTACATAAAACTACTGAATGATCAAATTTAGCAGCTAAGACCCGAGTTTATAAGAGGTGCATGCCTGTTAAGGAAGCATAGTGGTGACAAGTCAACCTAAACCTTAGCACTTATAGATGTCGTTTTGTTATTGTTTTAGTTTTTGGGTTTTTGCTTATTTTTATAGAGAAACAAAAAACCAAAACATGTTTGTTTCAGAAGTGGCTATATTTATTTTATAACTTTTTTTAAAACTAAAAAAAACAAAGAACATATAAAACCACGACTTCTGGTTTATATGATTTTATTTCTTTTATGCTAGTAGTACTAGATACACTTTCTTTTCTCTCCTCTCCCTCTCACCCTCACACAACTTTGTGAACTTTAAATATTTATATCCATTATGATCATAAATTACAGTAATTCATATCAGATTGCGATGATTTATTTTATTCTACTCTTTAGTTTTGTTTACAAAGCTTATAGTTAATAAACTTAATATTGTATTTGGCCAAAAGTCTCCTCCTTACCGTTTTTCAATTATCAAAGCAATTATCACATTGCGAGGTTGAGGTGATATGAACACTCTCTGAGAAAGATTCGCTTGTTGCCAAAAAAGAGCCTCTCATATTGCAAGGTCTACAGCTAATGGTTTTATTCCCCGTGATGTCTCTATCTGTTCAATACACTACTTGATGGAACTGCTCTTCTTTGATCCTTGCTGTTCGAATAACTAAAAAAAGGTAATAGATAGAGCAAGTTGAGGAGACTATATAGTACATGATTACAATCCATATGAATTTCAGTGGAAAACTGGGTGGGTTTTAATCAGAGTTCTTATGAAAGAAGAGTTCTTGTTAATTGAAAAATGACTCTAACATTTGCTTTTGAAATGAAAATCACTTTGATCTAATTAATTGTGGACTTTTGAACTCTTGACCATTAGTATGTTGGATGGTATTTGTGAATGACTATAATGTTGTATAATTTATTTACTTATTATTTTGTCTTTTAATTTTGAATTTACCTGATGAATGAATAAAAAACAGTTCATACAGAAAAAAAAAAAAAAAAAAAAAAAAAGTTTCATACAGAAAAAAAAAAAAAAAAAAAAAAAAGAAGACAGAAATTTAAAAACAAAAGATCAAAATCAAAAAAAAAGGGTCTTTTTTTCCTAAAAACAAAAACGCTATTAACAAACTGCACTCCTTTTAAATTCATGGTTTTATGTTGATGTTTCAGTTTTATTTGGCGTGTATATTCAGTTGTGAGATGGTGTCATTTAAGCCCCTAAGTGTTCTAGGTAGTGGATAGTAAGGCTTGTTTCCATGTAAACTGATTGAATATTAAAGAAACAACAAATAAAATGATAAGTGAGAAAACTGAGAGTAAAAAAAAAAAAAAAAAAAAAAAAAAAGAAGACAGAATTTTAAAAACAAAAGATCAAAAATCAAAAAAAGTCTTTTTTTTTCTAAAAACAAAAAACCTATTAACAAACTGCTCCTTTTAATTCATGTTTATGTTGATGTTTCAGTTTTATTTGGCGTGTATATTCAGTTGTGAGATGGTGTCATTTAAGCCCCTAGTGTTCTAGGTAGTGGATAGTTAGCTTGTTTCATGTAAACTGATGAATATTTAAAAGAAACAACAATAAATGATAAGTGAGAACTGAGAAGTATTTCCTAAATTTCTTGTTCTGTTGATTCTTTTTATTATTATATTTAATTATGTTTCTTTTCTCTTTTATTAATGTAATTATGGGTTCCTTCCGTTGTTTAATGTCATTTAGGTTACTTGTCATTAAGTCATTTATTTATGTTACTGATGCGACCTAGTATAATTAGCTTTGTGGTAGACAAACTATTTCCTACACTCGGCAGTTTGTTTGCAATTCTACCTTGTTTGAAAAATTTAAGCAATTATATCCAATTTGAATGGCTGTTTGAAATTATATCGTACTGATCCAAAATTGAAAGAATAATAATAACATTGTTAATATATTCTTAATATGAATCAATAAATTTCTTTATTTTTGATGTTCTCTCTGTCTCTCTCTCCTTCCACATCCATGATCTTTTTTTCTCTCTCCCCTCACCATTTTAACCCCCCAATGCATCAATTAATAGAAACCCATTGTTAATCATTGCCCAATATTTCTTCAAGCTTCAATTTGAATTATACAAATAAAAGCCAAAATCAATAATCCAACAAGCGAATTCCATCAAAATTGCACAAATATACCTCAATAATTCCCTAGTTGCCATTATGGCCATCAACACCAGAAATACACTCATCATTCCAATATTCTTGATCTATTTTGAATCTTCAATTGTCCTTGGCAATTTCAGTATTTTTTATGGTTCGTATTATTTTGTCCATGAGAGAGAGAGAGAGAGAAAGAGAGATATTGGGTTAGTGAAGGTGGAGAGTAGAGGGGGACAAAAAAGAAATTTAACATTTTTGTCATCTTAAAAATATAATAAAAAGTCATTATTTTCTTCAATTTTGGACTGATACGATCTAATTGCAAATAACCTTTCAAAATGCAATATGATAAATAAAATTTCTAAAAGGGTACTTTGATCCCTATGGTTTGGTGAAATCAACTACTTAGCCCCTGCCTTTTGAAAAATACATGAATGCACCCCCATGGTCTGTTCCCATTGGACTATTAAGTCCTTTCGTCCAAGGTTTATACTTTTTTCTGTTAAAAGCACAGTGAGAAGACAAAAATACACTTTAATATAATAAAATTTAATAATATAAACCAACATCTTAGTTTTGATGTAATCTTTTTGTGTTCAGAATTTTGGGGACATAGGTTTGTATAGGATTTCATTGCGATTAATTTTTTTTGAATTTCTATATGAGAGAGCGGATTTTAGCAGAAAGTACACAATAGAAATAAGGGTTTTTTGGGCTTTTTATGAGGGATTTTGTGGCAAAAAGTATAAATTTTGGACTGAAGGACTTAGAAGTCCAATGTGAGCAAACCACATGTACACATTCTGTATTTTTTCAAAAATTTGGGACAAAGTGGTCAATTTCACCAAAATACAGGGACCAAATAGTAATTTAAATAAGGTAGAATTGCAAAAAGTCACAAAATTTACGAAAAAATGACCCATTAGGCCTATTTAATTTAGTATTAGCTATCAAGTTTCTTTTGTTATTTAATCTGCTTAGGTTAGCTGTCATTAAGTCTTTTATTGATGTTACTTCTGTGACCTAGTATATGAGAGGTTTTACTTAAACCTAATATATTTGTTTTATTCCAACTACGCTCAATCTCATTCAACCTAATTATTGAAATATTATTACTTTAACAATTTAGCTCCATAATAAAGATCATAAGGTTCTCTCCAAAGGAGCCTTGCACTAGCAAACCGTAGGTCACAAGGGTAGGCAACCCAACAAATTTTGGTTTCACCATGGATCGAAGCCAAATGATATCACAAATATGGATTATAACAACTTGCTATAATACAAATGGTTATTGCAGATTCAACAGATATTCATAAATAATTTCAGGCTTTCATGAAAAGATGCATCAAGAAGACAAGGGAAAGGACAGAACAGAATGTGAGCAAGATACAGTGGCTTCTGTTGCCTTTAAGATTGGGGAAAAAATTAGACACAGTTTAAGGGCCTTGCCAAGGGTGGGGAGTTACCATGCTGCCACTTGTAGTGTTAATCGAGAATAAACAGAAACAACGGTTGGAGAGGGAAATGTAGAAACTGAAAATCACAGACTTTACTCATCAAAGCCAATTTTTTTTTTTTTTTTTGACTTGGGGGGATTGATTTAAGAGCATATATGTCTTATTTTGTTGAGATTCTAGGCTTTTAATAGATGAGCCCTTAGCAACCATAGGTTGCACTAGCTGAAACACCAGGAAATTTAGGCTTCAAGCAAACCAAGATCGAGATTTCATTGTGGACTGGTGCCAAACTAGATCAAGAACAGGACTGTAACACAATATTGTAAATTTATAATTAATATTTGTTTCCCAAATCTAACAAAAAAAATGATTGGGAGATCAAGAATCACATAATATATATATATATATATATATAGAGAGAGAGAGAGAGGAGAATGAGACGGTATCAGCAACTTTTACCATAAAATTTGTGTAGTTAGTTTTGTTGACTTCATTTGAAAATACCACTTATTATGTTCAATTAATTTCATTGCCACAGAATTGAAATTTTAACACCGAAGAGAACACTTTTTTTTTTGTTTCAAATATGAAATATGAAACTCGAAATGAATTCCACAATATTCATTTGCTCCAAACAAGCAGTAATATGTTATTAACTAGAACAATAAAAGCCAAAACTTACCTTGTCAGCCAGTGTCTCTCCACTCTTCTCACAAATGTATGTGAAAGATGATGGTGTGGTTTTCCTAACTAAGCTCAATAGGCCTTTCATCGATTTCTCCCACATTTCTCTGCTTGCAAGATCCACAAGTTAGATGTTAGGTGTTCAAAAAAAAAGTTTACTAAAATAGTACTTAGATTTAAACTAAGAAACATGGTAAGTCTGAATAAGAGAGAGCAGCATCCAAGTGTCGGGTTAAAATGGAAGCACAAGTAATTAAATTTAATTCCTCATAACTGAATGCAATTTCATATTTGGCGTACAAGAAATTAAATGTGATTTTGACCACCTATACCATCCATCTCAAGGAGTCCATGAGAAATGTTGCTGTATTTTACAATCATTTTCTTCCAATTTACCATTGCATTAAGGAAATAATTGATGAATACAGTTAAGTTAATATTCAAAATTTAATTCGGCCAAATACACAAATTCACCCCCTGTACTTGTAAAGAAAAACCTTATGGCACTAATACTTGACCTATTGAACACTTCAACTTGTAAAATTAGATCAATTAAACACTTATTGGATAGTTTAACAATGTGAAAATTATTATTCCAAAACTGTATTAACCACGTATCAAATTAATATTCTATATATGAAAGCCAAAAAATCCAAAAAGTTATTGTTGCTGGTGTGAAAAAGTATCAATGTTACCAAAATCTATAACTGCAAAGCCATGATAAGTTTCCAAAAAAGTCACAAGGTTTTTCGTGACAATTACATGGGTAAATTTATGTATTTAGTCAATTTAATTTCATGGGACAGTTTTCTTTCCATAAAGCATTTTTTGGCCCACATCAGTTCTGATGCCACAAAATTAAAAATTCAGGAAGGTTTATTTCTCAACTTTCAAAGTAATAAATTAACTATGAAATTATCAATTACTCGAGGGAAAATGGAAATTCCAAAACCGGGGAGGTTAAATCTAAAATGAGAAAATACAATAATTATCATAAATTATAGAACGTTTGTTTTATCTAATTGACAGCTTATTGGACCTTCAACTTATTTGGTCAGACAACAATGTTAAACCAATAAGTTGTTTATTTGAATTTGCAAATCGAATTTTGTTGAATGAAAATGCTAAGCTACTTATTTGAATTTGCGAGCCATTTTTTTAGAACCGATTCAATCAGCTATATAATTGATTGGATAAGAAGACGAAATTACCCCTACAATTATAAATGACAACATATACTACCTATTCATTCAAAAATCAGCTCTTTATACCACTTCTTAGTCATTCAACTCAATAAATTGTTAATTCAGCCCAAACAAACATCTTAGTTTGCATATGACATAAGAGAAAGATAGGTGGAAGGAAAGGAAAAGAAAGGCAATTGACATGCATTCAACTCAAATATTGTCCACATACTTTCTCAATTTCCTTTCCTTCCATTTCTTCTTGCTTATCTTAACACGTACAAAGCCTTGGAGATTTTCAAACAGACACCAAAATTTCACATTGTTACAAATATCATTCCTCAACTTTACAGTCTGTTACCATTAAATATTTCATCATAAAACTTTAAATTTCCTTACTTTAATTTCTCTTACATGATTTTTTTGTTTCACAAAATTAACTTTGGGTGTTTCCCATAAAATACATATGAACTGTATGATGATGACAAATTTTAGATCCAAAGTAATTTCTTTCGGCTATATTTGATATAAATGAGTTTCACAAAATTTTCAAGAATTCATTTTAAATTTCATATTTTTATATTCGTTATGAACAGCAATTTCATGGAATTCATCAACAACTAAACTAAATTCTATTATTCCTAAACGAATTCTATATTTTCAATTAATTTATACCAAACACAGCCTTAACTTCAATTCAAAAGGCAATAGGTATTGTTAAACAAAAAAACAAAAGATAAAAGGAAATTAATTATTTATTGTAAAGAAAAAGGATAAATAGAAAATAAACAATGATGGCAAAGTTATAAAAGAAAAAATAAAAAAATGACTGAGACTTATAGATAAAATAAAAGATAAGAGAAGGGTAATTCACTATTCAATATGAATAGTAACACCCTTACCTTCTTTATATACATAATTGGCCAAATACATAATTCAACCTTGTAGTTTTTGCAAAAAATCTTATGGCAATCCAAACTTTGCAAGGAACCTATTTTGCCCCCTAAAGTTACGAATTTTAGTAATATTGCACCCCTCTTCGCACTAGCAACAATAATGTTAGGGTTCTTGACTTTTATATGCAAAATATAAATTCATGTGCGGTTACTTTTGAATCAATATATTTTCACGTTTTTCAACTATCCCATAAATATTTAATCAATCTAATTTTACAAGTTGAAACATTCATTAGAATAAATTTTTCAAGTTAAAGTGTTTGAAAATGTAATTTTATAAGTTAAAAATATTCAACGGGTCAAAGTAAAAGTTGACAGTGCCACAAAGGTTATTTTGCAAAAAGTAAAGTTAATTTATGCATTTGGCCATATATATATAGTATGTATGTATATATATACACACACGCAAAATATTCTCATACTTTGTTCTTTCACTTTATAAGGAAAAAACTAATAAAATTAATTACAAAGCTTCTTTTATGGCAGAAAAGTAAAGCTTGTTACTCATAAAATGTCATTGTTGCTATTCCACAATTTTTTTTCCACTAGTCACTCTTTTTTAAGAAAAAGAAGCAAATTGTGAAAATCATTAAAAAGAAATTGACAACTTAATTATAATTATTTAATTAAATGATAATATGCCAGTAGAAAAAAAAAAAATGAACATATTTTATTGAATGTTTAACCGTATAACCTCGTAGCACAATTATGATATTAACATGTTATCCAAGTTTCTCATATAGAATGAAAACAGTTGTTTCAAAATATAGAAAAACTTAGAAGTTATATTTTACCAATAAACAGACGCCTAATATTAGTAAACATCCAATTCAACCTGTCAAGGAAAACCACCTCGATACAGAATATTTCATTGGTCAGATCAATTGGGGGATAATATGTATCCACTAAATTTAAGAGTGCTATGTATAGCATAAGGGAAGCCAAAAAAAAAGAAGGTAAGCATATCAATGAAATGTCTCACCTATAGTGTCTCACGGATGAAGTTTTGTTTCCTTGAATCCAAACTTTGAGCAAATACTCATAAAAGCTGCGATTAAATTTTCAAGTTAATCACAATCTTAATAGATTTGCAGCTCATCTAGTCAAGTAAGAACATGCTTAAATTTTATCTATATCTTTAAAATGGTCAATACCTGTCACCCATGGCACCAAAAGTTATGGTTGAGTATGACCCAGTTCCAGTATCAGGACTAATATAGATTGGAAGCAAACCATCAGCAGGAAAGGTTTTATTGATCTCAGTTATAACCTTCTCCACCTAAAAAATAAACTTCCAAGGCAACTGATTAATTGTAACTTTACAAGTAAATTAACTAGCAAAATTGTTTCTTTTGTCAGAAAAGTAAACCACTCATTAACATCGCAACAAAGAGAAAATGAACTTTGTGGAATGCAGATATTGGAATGAACCAAGTCAACAAAAAGAATGACAACAACCAGATGCATGTATAGACAATAGAGGAACACACCTTCAGCTGATACTTTGGGTCTCCCGTCCTTTGGGAAAGAGCAATAAATTCAAGTTGTTCTGTGCCAGAATCTGCAAGGATACTATCGCCCTAGAACCAAGAACAAAAACATGTGATTATTTCCATGAATGTGCTAACTACTCATGAATATTTGACAATCATCTCAAACTATCTCTCAATCCAGCTAAAAAATCTTTAAGGGCGCCTATAATAACATTTGGACAATGTATTAGGCACACTTATCCAATGGTTGGAAATGCCAAAAATGTCAACAAGTTTATCTTCAATTTCTGATACATTTTAGAGCTATCATGAAACATCTGAGAATTATCAGCATCGGATGATATTTTATGTTTTGTCCAGTGGAATTACTGATGCTACACAGGTTCTCAGAATTGAGAACCACCATTATCCATTGATGGATGTTTAAAGCAGAAGTGGGTGAAAAGTTTGAAAGAATGAAGAATAAGATTCATAAACAACTATAAAAGATGTTAATGATATTCACCAGTCAACTACTTACACCAGTCCATCCAGGGTTATGTGCATTGCCGTGCACCAAGTTAATGATGTTATAAGGGATCCCAGTCTGCGTATTCCATGCAGGCAGCAATCTATCCGCGATGTCTTTGGCCTTCTCCAGGAAAACTTTGTCCCCTGAAAGATCGTACGCACTAAGTAGTCCACCAACAACTCTGGATTCCAATTTTAAACGACAAAATATAAGCAAAATAATTAGCAGCTCGTACTGAAATAATCTAAAGTACCATCAATATAAGCCATTGCTCAAAATCATTGTATGATAAGTTAAACAAACTACATATTAAACCTGGTTATGCAACCTTATGGTTGTCTCAAAGACACTAGCATCATAATCCTTGTTAAAGTCCAATGAATTTGCAACCCACCTGCATAGAATGGCAGTTACATCAACAAGTATCCAATTGAAAATATCCAGAGGCATTGTAACGACACGTTGTAACACATTGACCAGTAATAGAAGAAATATGCACAAGAGAATTTAATAATAAACCAAAACTAGAGTTAGGCAGCTAAATCAACAAGAGAAGGCCAATAAATAAATTTGGAAGTAGGGGTAGTAGATGGGTTGGTAGGCTGAAAATGTGTTGGGTAAGAATTAAGCTTCGTACCCATTTATAAACTATTTAGTATTTACATGGATACCCATACCCACTTGACCCACATAAACTATTCACCCACTAGTTCTACCACCACAACACCACCACCACCACCATGCACCACCATACCACTGCCACCACTGCACCTCCACCATCACCTATAAAAAGCACACATCTACAAGTCCATCCCTTCTATAAATATATTCACATTGAACAACCTTGTTGGTTCTATGCCTAAGCCAATTAATCACTTGCCAGTAAGACCTATGATAGTAATTAAATGCTTCTTGAAACTTTACTAATGCATCATTGTGATCAAGTTTGCAAAACAAAAACATTTATATTTGCCTCTATAGCAACGACCAATTTTACAAAGAACACACTGGTAAGTGCTAAGGTTATAAACTGGTGGGCCATAAGACAGATCACAGCTCATCTACATGAAACTAAATTTGCACCAACACTTCTACAGAAATTGGCTATTAATTCTAATACTAAAAATTTCAAAAACATCCTTTATTTGATCATGTTTTTGGTTATGTGATAAATGATTAGTCTGGTTTAAAAAACAAATTCCACTATCTTTGGATTTTATTTAATTTGATTCTCTCGAAGATATGTGAGAAGGTAGAGGGATAATTAGATATTATACCTTTAATTGTCAATTTTTAAATAGTTATATTTAATCAGCATATCAAATTGCGATCTTAGGTCAACGTGGTACCCTCCTTTCATACTGTGAATTTAGCAGAAGAAAATAAAATTCTAACTATATTTTTGCAAAAATACAAAAAGCACAAAGTTAAGTTCATTCTTAATTAATTGGTATTGTTTCTCCATGCATATCCATTAGTTCTATGTTTATAGTAGCGGCCTTATAAAACACAGAATGTCAACATTTACTTTAGCAAAAATTTGCATTGAATCTAAAATAGTAAAGACTCAAAAAGTACAACACCTAATTATTCATCAAAAATTATTTGAGGTAATATATTAAAAAACATGAAGTTGGAAAATATAGAGAACAACATGAGCAAGATTAGAAACAGGAAGTGATCTCACAGCTACCCTGGTGGTGGTGGTGGTGAGTTGGTGATGTGGTGGTTCTAGTGATGATGGTGAGTTACTGGTGATGGATAACTATACACAACCTTTCCCATCCATATATTAATGGATTAGTTGGTTCACAATCGATTTAACACCTATTTAAAAATACAAGTGAACCATTTGTCATCCACATATCCATTTATAAAAGGAGGGTATGGGTGGGTAAATGGGTACAGGTCAATTTTGCTAACCCTAATTGGGAGAAATTAAAGTTGGTTTAATTGAGATTTGAGAACAGAACAAATCTCAATCTATTCACAAAAATCTTATTAAATTTCACAAACATAAGAAAGAAAGTTCCAGACTTCAATATCCACAAATTGAATCCTAACAGAATTTATATTCTTTGTAGCAGCCACAAACATGCTCATGGCTACACATTGAAAAGTGAAGGCCTTTGCGTCATAATGCAATATGACAGGCCACTGTAGAGCAATTTTTTCTCTTTTCATTTAGGAGCAACTGCTCCGCTGAAACTTAATAAATGCAAAAATAAAAAAGAACAAGAAATGCACAAATTAAAAGGCTTTGACTTAAAAAGAATAATCTATATTCGCTATTTATGAGTCAAGGTCAAAGTCAAAAAAAAAAAAAAAAAAAAAAAAATCCACAAATTGAATCCTAACAGAATTTATATTCTTTGTAGCAGCGCACAACATGCTCATGGCTACACATTGAAAAGTGAAGGCCTTTGCGTCATAATGCAATATGACAGGCCACTGTAGAGCAATTTTTTCTCTTTTCATTTAGGAGCAACTGCTCCGCTTGAAACTTATAAATGCAAAAATAAAAAAGAACAAGAAATGGCACAAATTAAAAGGCTTTACTTAAAAAGAATAATCATATTTCGCTATTTATTGGAGTCAAGGTCCAAAGTCAAAAAAAAAAAAATAAAAAAAAAATCTCACATCAACCATTACCCGTTAGCAATCATATCATGTAAGAAGATCTCACAATTATTAAAATGAAATGGATGGAGTAGAAAAAAGAAAAAAAAAAAAAAAAAAAAAAAAAAAAAAATCTCACATCAACCATTACCCGTTAGCATCATATCATTAGAAGAAATCTCACAATTATAAAATGAATGGATGAGTAGAAAAAAGAAAATTAAGTGTTGTTGTTTTTAATTCACATTTTGAAAAGAAAACCTTATAAAGCTTGATCATGGTCCTGTGAGCTAGGAATGAGCTTTTGTAAAGCACAACTGATTTCGATCTTTTAAATTAGGAGAGATTTAGGTGTTTAAAAAGAGAGGCACAAAATCATGTAAAAAGCATAAAACCATTGATGTTTGATGCTCGGCATAATAGGTAATGGCAGTCAATAGACTTGGCACACTAACTTGTATTCAATGAATAATCAATGTTACAAAAATATAGGTAATTCTACATGCATGCACAAACACACAGTATGTCAGTAAACCTGGCATACTAACTTATATTCAATGAATTATTAGCAAAATGATATACCTCATATTGAATTGTTACTTATCAACAGCATGGAACATTCCCATCCAGAAGCATGTAGTCATGTCCAAATCAACAGCCACAATGTATTTCAGCTAAATGTATTTCATTAGCTGCTTGTGTGTAAGTCCACAAGCATATGTAAGGGCAAGTATCTAGTACACTGGCAACAGCAACAGGTGGTAACAATAAAGTTTGCAACCTTGAGTTCTGAGAATATTCATTTCATGCATGGTTGTTCAAGGGTAAGAATGTCAATAGAGTTCCCTTTCCTAGAACTTAAACTTCTGCAGGATTGTAATTGCATAAAGACCCTCTTATATACATATTTTCAGACAATTAATTACCCAATTATGATCAAAAGATGCTATAATCTTATATTGCTCTCCTCTTTTTACATCTCTGGTAAGGCACATCACTTTCATCAAATCTGAAAGGTTACTATAATAGCTACCTAGAAGTTGCTATTAAAAAAATAAAAAAAAAGGAAATTCCAAACATGAAACAGTTGCTTCATAATTTTAAATCTCTTGCAAACCATAATTCAGTAACATAAATCATTTCTATCAGTCTAAGAAAAATGGGGAATGCATAAAAGTGTAAAAAGATATAAAGAACTAAAAGGAAATTAGGGCCAGACTTGGAAATCAAAAGCACATATAATACAAAACGAAACTCACTCTCTGGCTCTTTGGAATTGCTCATCCAGACCCATTATAAATAAGGTGTCAAGAGAGTCAACTAGAGTTGCTCCAAGACCACCAAAACTATCGACGCCATTCTTTGACTGTGGCTGATAAGCAAAAAAAAATAAAAAATAAAAACATTAATATGATACCTCACAGCTTCTAAAATAAAATAACAATTCATGACAAGACAATCCCGGAAAATTAAGTACAAAATCCTTGGAAAAACAATATTATTTGTTATATTGTAACATAATACTGAGTTTAAAGTTAATTGTTAATAGAAAAGACAGGATTTTGAAAGGATAAAACTTGGAATCATTTGTAGGGTTTCTTTAGCAGAGTAAACAATCAAATCATAAATGACATGCACGTGTATGAACCTGTTCCATCCAACGAGCCACTGGCATTCTTGTGTAACTCATGCACATATTTACCTTTAACATTATCCATAATATTATATGCTAATCTAATCTATGAGACTAAGTAATTATCATTTTAAACCTTCTGGCATTAATAATTTCCCATTAAATACGTTTTATTCACCAGTAAGCTTTCCTAGGAAGGCTTCAAACATTGCTAAAGTCAACTGAATTTTTAAATTTTATCTTCCATTAGGGAGTAACTTCAATTGACAGAAAAAGGAAAGGTTAACTGTAAATTAGATCAGACAGATACCGATGGCATCACCAAGGGATAACTCATCAATTAATACACAACTAGGTTGCAGGAAAGCTTAAAGTGCTGCAAGTACTTGTCAAACAATCAGCAATGCTCAAGTTGGCATAAGAAATCCACATTGTCCATGATGTTTAAATTATTTATTGTGAATGGACAAAAGCAAGAATAAATTGAACCAATAAATTAGAAAAAATTTACATACCTGAAGTTCATCATGGCCCCATGCATACGTCTCATACGAACTCCACGCATGAATCATAGCTTCTTTTACTTTCTCTCTCCGTTGAATGTCAATTGGATCGTCAGGAACAGCCTTTTGGGAAGGCTTGTTAGATTTATTACTAATCACTTTAATTGCATCTCCATGAATATTCTTTAACTCTTCTAGCTGCAAGAAATATAAAAACTAGCACCACTGATCCAAAAAATTTATTTTTCACTTCTAAGCAAAGATATGCGGATCCAGCACAAAAAGAAAGGTACTATTTTAGACTATTTAGCAGCAGTTCTCCGTTGGTTTGGATGCAAAAAATTAGCAACAATTCATGTGATCATCTAGTGTTTGTAAAAGAGCAGGTGAAACCCAACAAAAGCACAGGTTTCGGAGACTGCTTCCCAGGAAAAGCATTTTGGGGAAATTTTAAAGATATCAACATACTCAAATAGGCTTTTTTTTTTTCTTTTACTTACATTGGAAATTTATTCTCAAAGGTTCAACAGAAAGGAATTTAAACATAAATTATCATAATTTACCACCTAAATTTAAGAAAGGTGAATGATACATAGGCATCACAAAGGTCCCATTGGCATCACACTTGACTTTGAAATGTGTCACAATCCAAAGAAGTATGCTTACCGGAAACTGTCACCAATTTCTGTTGATTGGCTGTATGTCAATAAACTGTGATTAGCTTAGTAGAATGGATGTTGCATTGAATTATATATCTTGTTCCTATGCTTGCAGATGGCATGTCAAATGGTGTGGAATGCCTTAGACTACCATGAGAAATGAATGAAGGCAAGCTGGTCTAATGCATGAGCTCACCAGGCCTAAGGTGTTGTTACTAACCAACTGGTTTGATGCATGGGCTCACCAGGCTAGATGTGGATGATTTAAGTGAGATGGTTGATGCATGTGTTTCTGCCATTTGCTCCTACCATAGTTGGGATGAAAGAGCCAACATTCAGGGCCAATTCCTCAAGGAATAGGTTTTGCATTTCCACTTCCATCGTAATTTCATACTATGTGATTTTTGATGATTTGACGTTTGTTTGATTGAATTATGAAGATGAGACTTGTACGTTCCATTTGAATGAATGCATGTACAAGATTATGTATTGTTCAACATCATACCACTGAATTGAGATGCAAATCCTTGTCTCACCATTTTTGTAGGTTACAAGTTTCAAACTCGGTGACCAATTAGTAAAAGTCTACCTTACTTTCTCCTACAACAAGGATCTGTGTTTATGTTTAAATGAACTTATTTCATCTAATAAGAAAAAATAATGCAATTACAATTAGTAGTATGTTTGAATGATGTATGTTCATGGGTTGGGTCAATCCCCACTCTATATATCCTATGCATTAAACAAAACCTTGTACAAGAGTAAGTTAGTCTCCCAAATACTTTTATGAGTGAGCAAGACGTCTTCGAAAGTTAATGTGAGTTCTTGGGATATGTTTGATGGATAGATTCATCATTAGTGTATGGATGGTATTATATGTGTATGTGTTAGTAGTTTTATGCTTAGTACAAGTCCTGGAGGTCTGAAGCCTTATCATTCTCTAGCACAGGTCATGAGCCCCCAGAATTAGGTGTTGACATCAGTATTGCTCAAACATACAAACATTGCTTGGAAAAACAAAGGTGAAGCCCAAGAGCATAGAATTTTTATACAAGAGCGATGTTGGAGAAAAGGCATATGCCAAAAGGTTAGGAGAGACAACCAATAACTAGAAACTAAATTGGCAGTCGGAGAAGCAAAATGGAAAGCTTTCAATAACAAGAAAAACCTGCACCTGTTTCTCCAAGGTAATCTTTGGATTAGGGATATTAAAATCTATGGAATTTGTCAAAATTCATGGAATTAAAATCTTAAGTTTCTAATCCATTGATTTGTAACATTCAACTTGTTTGGTATAAATATTAGCTCTATGGATTTCAATGGTATTTTTGTAAATAAATAAAACTTTTAAGAATCTTTAATTCATTAAAATGAAGAATTTGGCAGAAGTATTTCAGAAACTCTCAAAATGAGGGATTGTGGTTTACAAGGGATTTATAATTCAAGGATTTTACCTTGTTTTCGTCATGCCAAACAAAAAAATTTGAACCAAATGGTCCAAATCCATGGATTGATCAAAATCCCTCATACCAAGCATAGCCCAAGAGGAGATGAGCATCAAAGCAGGGAATTCCGCATTGAAAGTTGAAAGGAAAAGAGAAGACGAATCAGCTGCAAATTTATTTATTAGACTCTAATACAAGTTCTATAACACTTCCAACTGCTATACGGTTGCTACAAGTCGCAATAGGTCAAGCAAAGCTACATGAATTTGATGACTTGAAGACATAGGAAGCAATAAGACTCCTATTGCATTGACTTGTTAAATTCACTTACAATTACTCCTATATTATGCCTTAGTTTTCCATCATCTTTTCAATTTTACCACCCCAAAAGTTCTCTATTTTTGTGCCCCCCTAGGAAGCAATAAGAACTCCTATTTTGCATTGACTTTGTTAAATTCACTTACCAATTACTCCTATATTATCCCTTAGTTTTCCATTCAATCTTTCAAATTTTACACCCCATAAGTTCTCTATTTTGTGCCCCCCCCCCCCCCCCCCCCCCCAAACTCTCTCTTCCCCCCCACCCAAAAGACCAAACTTTTGCTCTTAACAAGTATATTTATTTTTCATTTGATACGTTATATATTTTAATTAGACTTTTAAATTATATCGTATAATATATAGATAGGTGTATGTTTATGATAATTTTACCATATATTTAACTTATTCTTTTTAAATATTCATAAGTTTTATTTGAAAACTTCCAATATTAATAATAATAAGATTATTGAAGAACACATAAATTTTAATATCATGACATGAATGTATCTTTTCTTTAAATAATTTTATTAAAATAATATTTTCATAGATATATGAGTTTTATGTAAATAAATCCATAACTACAACCTAACAGTTAACCACTGGTAACACCACTTGCCATCATTCCCCCCACCCAAAACAAACACCAACCAACAAAAGAAGAAAGAGTTCAATCAATGGCTATGCAACTATATTGACTAACACCATAGTAAAAGAAAACATTTAGTTTTACAATCCTAACATATTTAGCCACTCAGAGTAGAGCCAACCCTTGAAATCCAACCACAAACTCGGAATTACTTCTTCAATGAAAAATCCTTCAAATCCAACAACAAACTCAGAATTATTTACAAATTTACAACCCTAACCCAGATACAAATTTAAATACCAGTATCTTGTGTCATACGCCCAAATAATAAAGATGAATACAGCTCAAATTCAGAAAATTCTCAGATTAACATCGCAAAACAACAAAAGAAACATGCGTATAAAGCAACTACAGATACTACTAAATTTAGAAATCAAGATAGCCCAAGCACTAAAATACAACTTTCACATGACTATAAATAACAAACAAATAAATAAAAGCGAAAACAGTACTAAATTTCTAAAAAAAAAAAAAAAAAAAAAAAACATGACTTATACAAATTTAACAAACAATAATAAAAGCCGAAAACAGTGTACTAAATTTCTAAAAAAAATAAAATAAAAAAAAAAGACAAGCCAAATTCAAAGCCAAAACATATCTACGAATCATGGATCTCTTACCTCGTCCGCATATTTAAGTTGTTCATCATTCTTCATTCAGTTTTGGGGAACTATCCATCCTGCCAATAATTAAGTTGCTGAAATTTGTCTAGGCGGCCCAGGCAATGCTCAGATTAACAAAAAACACCTCAAAAGTAAAGAAATATATGAAAATTCAATTTTTTATATCTACGTTCTATTGAATTAATTTAAAATTAACATAATATAGCACGATATAATCACTTGATTAAAAGTCTATTTTTGTTAGCCAGTCAAAACTAATCAAGAACCAAAGTCTTCTCTTTCACACACACATTTTATTCTTAAAAAAAAAAAAAAAAAAAAAAAAAAGCAAATTCAAAGCCAAAGCCATATCTACAATCATGGATCTCTTACCGTCGCTTTTAAGTTGTTCACTTCTTCATTCAGTTTGGAAACTTCCACCTGCAAATTAGTGTGAAATTTGTTATGCCCAGGCATCTAGATTACAAAACACTCAAAAGTAAAGAATATATGAAAATTCAATTTTTTATATCTACGTTCTATGAATATTTAAACATTACAATATAGCACGATATAAATCACTTGTTAAAAGTCTATTTGTTAGCAGTCAAAACTAATCAAGACCCAATCTTTCTCTCACACACACATTTTATTCTTATTTTTGCAGCAGCTCATCAAGAGATAACAATATTGCATACTTGCTACTGTCAACCACATATCAGTGAAATCAGTATAAATGATACGGTTAAAAAGTCACACTAAATGGTTCCTGCTCTCGTAACTTCAATGCTTGTTTTTTCCTTTTCAAGAATTAATGACGATTCCATCAAACATGCATTTTATATCCCTCAAGGTATAGGAAAGGAGATTTTTGGGTCTATATTCATGGCCTATTAAACCAAAATTCTTATTTCAGCTTCCTTCGATCTTCTAAATCCAGTTGATCTATCATTTAGGCATCCCCAAAGCCTTTCGTTGAAGACTTGTAGGACAAAAATCTCACAATTGAACCATTATTATTATCAAATTACACAAAAATGAAAACGATAGAAATAATTGTTCTCTTTATTTATCTAAAAAAACATAAGAAAAATAACTAACAGCATGAGTATTTATAGAAGATTATAAAATATTTTTAATGCTATGAGATTAGAGCAAATTCAACCCTTGAGAATAGATTGGAACCACAATATGGTGGGCCTTGGGGTATTTTGCAATTCACAACGAACCCTATTGGTAATTGAGATATGGAAAAGTTTTGCAAGCACAAGTATCCAGTTTTATTTTTTATTTTTAAGAGTTTTTGTAAATTATAGAAGAACAATGTTTTTATGTATTAAAATATTAGATATTGGCCTAATGATAAAAAAATGCAAACCTTTAATCATTTTTCAATTTTAGCTAATCCTTCCAATTTTGTAAATTTTAACATATCATGCTATCATAACAACTATGGCCAATTTGGTAAGTGAGAATCAGAATGTATGCATAAGGCTTAGATAGCTACATTGAGGCCACAAAAAAAATATGGTTACTATCTCTTTCCAGTATCAACAATACAAAATATTATTTTTCTTAAACTTTTCCTTTGCTAAAAAAGAAATCATTTTTAATTCATTAATTATTGGAAAACTGTTGTCTTGTGTAGTTGTACATGTTTTAGGAGCTTATTCTTTATTGTAAAGCGTAGTCTAGATATTTCCACATAGTCCTAGTTCAAAGTATAAATAGGCTTGTAACAATTTATTTCACAAGATTGAATGAAAAATTCTCTTCATACAGGAGGGAGAGTGAGTTGACACTGCCCAGCCCAGGAGGAAGAGGGGTCGCCAATCGGTCCTTACCTAGATTCCGGACATTGTCCAACGCCGCACGTTTACACGCCACTGGAAGTTCCTGCGTCCTTCTTCACATGATGGCACATGGCACGTTTTCCAGCCACCTCTCTGATAGCGGCCAGTTCCGGTCGCTTCGCCCTGCTGCTGCGCCTTCACCTAGCCCATTATCTTGGTCTGATTCCTTCAAATCAAGTTTGTTCTTTTTTTGCCATTTGTGGGTTTGTTTTTCTGATTTTCAGACCTGATTCCCTCTTTCTCGGGTTATATACAATGGGTGATGGTTCCAAAACAATTGATACTAAGGTTGTCCCTTCACATGACAATCCTTCCTTGCAAATCAGTCCGGTCAAGCTTGATGGTGCAAATTACCTTGCTTGGTCAAGGTCTTGTCTTTTATTCATCAAAGCTAGGGATTTCAAGGCTATATCACCGGTTCTAAGACTCCACTAGCACCTCTAAGTGACACCAATGATAAATGGGACTCTAAAAACTCATTAGTTATGTCTTGGCTAATCAATCCTATGGAGCTTAGAATTGCCGATGGGTATTTGATGTTGGACACCGCAACAAAAATTTGGAAAACTATGACTAGAACTTACTCTTAACATGGAAATGCTGCACGGGTGTATGAACTTTGCAACAAAGTTCATGGCTTAAAGTAAGGAGAATTTACTGTGAATCAATACTATGCAACACTGAATGACCTTTGGCAACAGCTAGAGTACTATGAGACCTATCATTCCTAGCGTGAGGAGAATGTGATAGGATATTAAAAGAAGGTTGAGACAAGGCATATATAGGAGTTCCTTGTTGGGTTGAATGCTGAGTATGACCCGATTCGGATCCAAATATTGGGTGAGGATCCGGTGATTTCCTTAGAGGAGGCCTACTCTTATGTTCAGCAGGAAGTAGAAGAGTGTGATGTTATCAATCGGATCCATCTGAGAGAGCTGGACTTATAGCCTCTCAATCTTCTCAGATTGCTCGTATATCATCTGAAGATGATTCCTGCAGATGTGATCACTGTGGAAAGTCGGGGCATACTAAGGAATCATGTTGGAAGCTACATGAACGACCAACTCATGGTCATGGTCATGGGGCTAAAAGGTCAAGTTGAACTCGACATGTTGCATATCAAGTTGAGGTGGTTGCAGCTCCTGGAAGTATATCTGCTGAAGAGGCACAGACCTTGAGGCGTCCCTTGACAAAACTTGACCCTCCATCCACTTCAGATGCTTCCTCTAATTTTGTGCATTCAAGTATTGCTTTCCTAGCTGATTCCGTTGATGATTCATGGGTAATAGGTTTAGGAGCAAACAAACATATGACAAGCTCATCTAGTAAATTCTTAACATATTCACCTTCTTCTAGTAAAGAAACTGTCCATATTGCAGATGGTTCTTTTCCTCCTATTTTGTCACAAGTTCTATTCAATGCACTTCTACCATCAACTTGAATTATGTCCTCCATATTCCCAGTTTCCAAGTAAATCTTTTATCTGTTGGTGCTATTACAAAGGTCCTTAATTGCAAAGTTGAATTTTTTTTTCTCACTCATTGTGTTTTACAATATCTAAGAACAGGGGAAACGATTGGATTTGGTAGATTGTATGATGACCTACATCTCCTTGAAAAGAGTAGCAAGTGTCTATCTCCAAGAGTCTCCCAAGCTCTGTTAGGAAGGAATAGTAGTACTAGGCAAGCAGCTATTATGTTGCATAGGCAGTTGAGGCATCCTTCTTTTGTTGTTTTGAATAAATTATATCCTAACTTGTTTAGGCAATGTCAAGTTATGATGCTTGTGAACTGCTAAACATGCAAGAAACAAATATGTTTCCCATAATAAGAAAAGTTATATTCCTTTTATGACTATCATTCTGATGTGGGAACCTACTTCTACTGTTTCATTATCTGGATATAGATGATTTGTTACCTTTTATTGATTGTTATACTAGGTTAACTTGGGTTTATCTATTGAAAGCAAAGAGATAGGTATTTTCTTATTTTCAATCCTTTCGTAATATATGATTAGCATACAATTCGATGCAAAGGTTAAATGAGAACTAATAATGGAACAAAGTACACGGAGAGCATGTTTCAAGCTTATTGAGATTCAAGGGAATTATACACCAAATTAGTTGTATGAATACTAGCGCTCAAAATGGGGGTGTCTGAAAGGAAAGATAGGCATTTGTTAGAAGTGATTAGATCTTTCTTATTCACTATGAATGTGCCTAAGACTTATTGGATAGATGTTCTTCTTTCTGCAGCATACCTTATTAACCGTATGCCTCTTAGAACACTGGATATTAAGAGTCCTATAGAAGCTCTGCAAGGTCATACCTCTTACACTGTTCCACCAAAAAGGTTTTTGGTTATATGTGCTTTGTTCATCACAGTTATGGAGGAAAATCAGAACCTAGATCCTTATAGTGTTGGTTTGTTGGTCATTCTGCCACACAAAAAGGCTATAAGTGTTACCATCCCCATCTCAAAAATATTAAAATTTTTAATTTATAGAACTTTAAAAATATTTAGAATCATAAAAATCATTTAAGAATTTGTTGTTAAATATGAGGAAAAAATATATAAAAATAATAAATCATGGAAGTTGACGATGACTGATGATGGTAGACTATGATCTGTGTTTGTTAATGATAGTCAACAATGATGACGATTCATTCATTGGGGGATCAATAAATAATTTTTATAATTTTTTCTTTTTCTTTTCCTATAATAAGTTTATCAACGTTCAAAAAATGTTTTCTTCTTTTAAAAAAGGAAAGTCATTTTCCTTTAAATTGGCCTAGTTTTCCATTTAACCAGAAAAATATTTTCCATTGACTAATTTTCTTAAGCATTCCGAACAACAGAAAATGTTTTCTAGGAAAATATTTTCGGGAAACAAACCGAGCCCTAATAAGATTATATGCTATAAAATGGGCTGTAACTTTTGTTTACAAGCAGATTTCATATTTCAAAATTTTTAATTAATAAAATAGACCAGTTTATTGGTTTCCTGGTTGTGTCACCAGAAGATTCAGCCCCTTTTCAGGTTGAATTATGATCTATAGTTCTCCTTTTTAACTATTCTCTTGCCAAATCTACAACCTAATTGGGTTAGGTTATTTTTGCTACATCATCACACATATCATCCCTTTTTGTTTTTTCTTCTTCCTAACCTCCAACTAATTTTCTACTCTTTTTTTTCTCTTTCCTTTTCCCTTCTTGCTTCCCCTCCTTTCTTCTTTGTTTCATTAATGCTTCTTTTCTTTCATTCTCTTCTAAACAAAAACTATCAACTTATCAAGTCATCATAGATAAATCACAGCCACCAATAGCTCCCCAACCTATATTATTGGAATCAATTTACATCCATGCACCACCAAGCTGCAACCTCCTCACATTCAAGACAAACCCATTGTTTTCTTTTGTTCCAGCCACAGAACCCTCACAGTTTCAATGCCACCTCAAACTAAATCAACCAAGGTAAAACCATTCTCTACACTACCTAAAGCCAAAATCCCCACGCCTTCAAACCATTTTATGGCGAACAATCACCTCTATCATCAGAATGTTTGTAACTTTGATATTGTCATCTCTCTTCCTCTTTCTTTTATGGGCATTAGAACTAACAGCGAATTGGATAGTACATTTAATTGATTTTAAGTAATATAATAGGTTTCACACTAAAGGGAATACAATTTAAAAAAATTTGGAAATTCAATTACATAATTTACATGAAACAAAACAATGGGCATCTAATTAGACAAAGTGTAAAAGTTCAAGGACTATATGTTGGCTGGGTAAGCCCAAGACCCATAGTGTTTAATCCTTTTCTATTATACCATCTCCAGCTTATTTTTTTCTTTTGTTTACACAATTAGTACCTTCTAGTCTCTTTGAATAGAGTAATGCGACAAGCATCTAACTTCCATGAGCTTGTAGTGAGTCATGGTTTGTATTCAAAGTCTAAAGTTTAGATGAAGGATACTTCTATTTTAAATTAATTTCTTCGACGAAGGGTAGCATATTCTTTAATGAACAATGCAATGTGGCAAGGAAACTAATTCTAGTGGATTTGAAATAACATTAACCATTTCATCCGCATAATTGATCAAAGAAAGTCTATGTATTATGCAATACCAATCTCATAATTTTTGAATCCCTCCATAGAAACACAGGATTACAGAATTTCTTCATATGCTACATTTTATTATAAATTCAAACTGATGCTGTTGGATCTATAAATAGAAAATAAACATCCAATTACCCTTTGCTACTCCAAAGATGATACATTGACCAATCATAGAAAATTGAGCTAAAAACAAAAACTTTAGCATCTTGCAGAATAACAAATTATATTGAACTAAACATGCGCAAATAAAGAAAGAAGAATAACAAAAAAAGTACCTCGTGTTCTCTGACGAGAGTCTGACGATCCCAAATGAGCAAAGAAGCACAAACAAAGGCGATAAAAAGCAAAGCCAAGCGCTTCGGTCTCTTGAGATAATAAGATGGATTACAATACCTCCACTTGCTTGACGATGTTGACGATCTACTCCTCCCCATTTTGATCTTCTAAACAAAAATCAAATTTGTTCTTTAAAAAAAAAACCTAAGATTTGATATTAGAACTTGAAAGGTGATCTAACAGAAAGAAATAAAAACATTGAATAATGGAATCGGAAACGTTTCAAAATGATGACCCGTTTCTGGCGAGCAGAGAGAAACGGGAATTGATGGGAAAGAAGAAGGTAAGTGATGATACTTGAAAAGAAATGCCCAGGCCAAAAGTAGAGCAGAGAAAAGCAGCTTTGACGCAAAACGTAGACTCCTTTTGCTGCCAAACAGATACCAAGGAAACGTTTGGTTACTCATCCAACTTTGCTATAAAAAATCACTTAAATAGCTTAGTAATAAAACTTTTTTTAGGGGAAAATTATGATTTTATTGTCAAAATTATATAGCATATCATCGTAATTTTAAAAAAATACACTAAAATATTATCCATGTATTTTACGTCAGATAAAGTGTATTGCCCTTCGGTCAAAATTTTGTCCCTTTGGATATTAATTTTTTAAAAATTGCAAAATTATCTCATCTTCCACATCTCAACTTTCTCCCTCTCCCATCTCAACTATCAGAACCCTGAAAAAAAATAAAAAATAAAAAGCAAATTTAACTCCATTTGAGTCTGAAGCTCTAATCGAGCGGGCATCATATATTTTTTAATTATAGAAAAATTACGATTTTATCATTATATTTTATCAAAATTAATTGGCATACCTTGTATTTTAAATATTATACTAAAATCGCTATATGTTTTGCCTATATTAAACTATCATATCCTTCTATTTAATTTTTATACTTTTACCGTTAATTTTCCAATTAAAAGATGAGAATGCCCTTATTTTTAGAGGGCTGCATCTCCATCTTCCTCTTCTCTCTGTCTCTCTCTTCTGTAAAACTTTCTTTCTTCCTTCAACAATGGAAAACATAGAAACGGTACGCAAGTGGCCACCATTAACCATCAATTAATTTTTACAATTGAATTATTTGTTCTTATTTTGAAAGAAACAAAATTACCGTCATATTCTTCATCTCAATCTTAATCCGTTCCATCTCATCTCTCTCTCTCTCTCTCTCTCTCTCTCTCTCTTCCTTATAACTCATTAAAAAAGGGCAAATTTTAATATTTTTTTTGCTTCTTTCTAATCAGTTATGATAATCAAAATCTATTAGACCTTATTTCTCTAACTTTAGCTTTACTTAACTTTGTCTTAGCAAATTTCCACTCAAAGTAAAGGTAGTAAGAGAGCTAACCCAACAAAATCAAGAATCAATAAGTTCTATCAATGGCAATACTCAATGCAAAATGTTTGAGCATTAACTCAAACAAAAACATTAACCCGACAAACCAACAAAACCCATTTCACTTCTTCCTATCCAAGACCTACCTAAAGGTCTAACCATGTCAAAACTAGTTCTTGCAAGTTCTGCCACAGCTGGAGCTTTCTTTAAAAGATTGAGTTTATCTAATCCAGCTATGGCTGCTCAACAAATAGAAGAAATAGCAAAAGGTGATAATCGTGGAATAGCTCTTCTACTTTCAATAATACCAGCCATAGCTTGGGTGCTATTCAATAAGATGATCAAAATCCATGTGAAGGAAGAAGATTGATCAAAATACAGATGAAGGAATTCGTTTGATCGAGTTTTGAATTTTGTCCAATTTCAGAACTAAGAAAAATTGTTAATGAAAAAAATTAAAAGAATTTACAAGAGAGAGAGAAAGATGGTGCCTCTTAAAATGAGGGCATTTTTGCATTTTTATAGAATATTAAACGGAAAAAGTACAAAATTTAGACAGAAGGACGTATGAGTTTAACGGAACCAAAATTTGAGGGTAAAACAATGTATTTTAAAAACGTGAGGGTAACCTAGTCAATTATGGTAAAATACAGGGATAAAATAGTAATTTTTTCATTAATTATTTAGTTCTCAAAAGGAACGATTCATCTATTAGGATTGCACAATCAGAAGCGTTTGATGGATATGATGGTTTATTTGGCTCTTTTCTTTCAAAAAAAAATCTTATATTCTTTCATAGATCTTTCAAAAGTGCAACATTTGAAACTTATAGTATTGCTTGAAAGATTCTATAGCATAATCTTAGGAATATAATGTTGTAATTTTGTATTGATTCCCGATGGTATATGTAACCAATTGTGTATTGGATGGTTTTGCTAACAATGGAAGCAATTTTGGAATTGTAAACCATTTAGCATCTGATGATGCAAGAACATGACCAGAATCTGTTGTGAAAGAATTTGGATTTGATGAGAAAATTATATTGGCAGTGAAAGAATATTATTAGATGACTCTACTTGGGTTAATCATCTAAAGGTGTACCTTTGCCTTTTGGTTGTGTAGTTTCAAGAATAACTTGTCACTTGAGTTCTAAAAGTTCCCAAGGGAGACATGTTTACTTTAGGAGAAACCAACTTCTGAGGAACCAGAGATATATAGTGAAGTGACTATTAGTTTTCTAAGCCTGGATAATCAAAACGAGTAGTGCTTGAGAAGTCTGCAGAAAGAATGACTCAACATATCAAGTCATTATATATAATTGCACACATTGATAGAAAATCCATTTCAAGGGTTCTTATAGACAACGGATCAGTATTGAATATAATGTCATTCAAAACACTCTTAGATATTGGGAGGACAAAGGAAGATCTTATAGCTACCAACATTTTAGTGTCGACTTTTACTGGTGATGTGTCAAAAACCATGGGAGTACTACTAGTAAAGGTTACTGTTGGTAGTAAAACATCTTTGCCGGCCTTCTTTGTTGTTAGGTCCACTACTGGTTATAATGTGTTACTAGGAAGGGACTAGATTCATGCCAACTGGTGTGTGCCTTTGTCTTTATATCAGTTTTTGTTATTTTGGAAAGGTGATGATGTGGAAGTTGTGTGGGTGGATCCTAAACCTCTCCAAGCTAACTCCAATGCCTTAGAAGCACAGTTGTATAATGTGGATTTCAGTCCCATCCATTGTACTAGAAAGGGTTGGACTCGAAGGGAATCATTGGAAGTTGAAGTAGTGGAAGTGGAAGAAGATTTTTCTTTTGAGGAAGGCAACACCTTAAATCAGTTTGAGTATACAGTTAGAAGTTTCAGAGGATACTAGCTCATCTCTTGATAGCTCATCAAATGTTTCTGAAGTCAGTTCAAAATCATCATTAGCCATCCCGCCTTATAAGAGACCGAGGTGGGAGCTTGAGGTGATAGAGCTCCATGATTAAGAAAACATATTCCAATAAGGAGATGGCAGCAGCTGCAGCTGCTATCTCTAAAGCTTATTTGAAGTAACTATTTGACAGGTTAGCTATGGAAGAGTCAGAGGAAGTTGATGGGGTTGAGGTGATCTTTGAGGAAGAATCGATATATGATTTTAGGGAAGAGATCCAGTTGCATGAGCTTAACCCTACGCCACCAAAGTTGGATGACATTCTTACAGGAGTCTAGGATCCTTTGGAAGAAATTAACCTCCGCACACCTGAGGATCCAAGATTAATATATGTTAGCAGCCTATTGCTGAAGCAAAAGATCATAACTGTTTATACTCACAAGGCCTTATAGAAAATGCTTATTGGCTATCAAGTAATACATGAGAGCTGCACAAGAGAAATGCCAGTGGTTGTTACCTCAAGGAGTACTATCCCCCAGGTGGGAAATGAAGGATCACTAGCAATGAATGCAGTGGGGCTGATCTCATAGCCCCATTAAGAAAGGTCACCTGTAGCAAGCAACGGAACAATTATAGGAAGGTGACATAGCTGATCCCACGACACTTATGAATAAAGTAAATAGGCCTACTAGTTATTTCTTTCATAAATGTGTAACGACCGATTCACAGCTTTAAATATATTCATACAAATCCCAGAAAAAATAAATATTAAAAAAGAGGTTCAGTCGAGGTTCATATCTTGAAACTGGTGCTAAGTCTACTAGTGCTATGAAATAGTAGAGGAGTGTGTCTCATGGCTTTTTATCTAAGCATGTACTTGAGAAGAAGAAAGTGGATCGCTCAGAAAGAAAGGAGTAAATCTCAGTAATAACAATATATAAAATTGAAAGAGGAGTCGTTTGCAAAGCATAATTAGGTGGATCCAACAAAGATAAGCAGGTGTGATAGATAACATACCTGTGGAAAAGAGATAAATGAAACATCTAAAGCTTAATCAGTGAGAAGAGGAGACAGTCGACATATTAGCCAGGGGAGTCACCTCAATTTGGAAAATATATCTAGAAACAGCTGATAGAGAGGATGATGAACCAGTTGTAAATTTCCCTTGAGAGAACCTGACAGAAAGAAAGGGTTCAAAGTTTAGCAGAGGAACTTATTTGAGGAGCAGGTGTATTAGCAAGAGCATCGCCCAAGGAGTTAGCAAATGAAGTAGTGGAACCTGTTACTGAAAAATTAAAGGTACACAATTTATATTCTATCTCAAAGGAACTAGTTCTTTCCCTTGGTCAGAGTAGAAAAATATTTTCACTGGTGCCAAAGTCTGGAAAAATGATTGTCCGTGGAATTGGTATCGAAAACTTGGTGCCTCTAGAATAATTTTTTATTGGTTCTAGGTTGATTCTCTAAAAAGTTCACCAAAGACAAGATACAGACACCATGCTATTTAATTCTCATTCACAAATTCATTGCCATCCATACCCAATTATATATATATTAGTTATTATATATGTTATTTAACAAAAAAAAAAGAAAAAAAAAAAGAAGAGAAGAAGAATGAAGACGAAGATGACACAAAGCAAACAAACCTAACATTAGTGAATATATATATAAATAGGATTTGCTTGTAGAGTCTTCTTTGGCCAATATATATATATATATAAGAAAAATGAATATGAGATAATTAGTGGGTTTGTGTTGGTAGTGGTTTTATGTGCATGCTAGTCTTTTTCTGGTTCTGTGTTTGTTTACACTGATGGAGAACAAGACAAAGAGATGGAGTTTTTGATAATAATAGTTGAGTAGTGTTAAAATACTATGGTTTTTGGGAGCTTGAAGGATAGTTTTTTTGGATTGTATTTTTGTACTTTTAAATCATAAATGGGTGTGCATATGAAAATGAGCCAACATATTAAGCATGACCTAATAGGCCAACTTAACATGGGGGCTCATTTTGTGATTTTTTATATTTGAGCTTTGTATTTTGAATTTGGGCTTGGATTTTAAATTAATTAGGACCAATTTATATTATTTTATATAATTAATTAATTAATTAATTTAATCAATTAATTAATTAAAAAAAAGGGATAATAGAAGACGTGAGTCGCAATTAGGGAAAAGGAGAGCA